TTATGTTCAGTGGAAACGTAGGGTTCGATTATATTTATACGTCGTTGACCGGTGAGGGTCGACAAATAGCCGTACGATATTAAATATGGTGTGTTCAACAAAGGGACAGGAGGGCGAGAAATTAAACCGATCGAACTATGCCTCTTTAAGTTTGCCCTCTACAAGGGTGTATTTATCAAAGTTCAATTACTTATCATAGAATATTATGTATTTTTAATGGTAATGAATATGCGTCACGTAGGTATGTCAGCGCGTTCAGAGATGTTATAGTGAGGCAGACGCTGGACCATTAAGTTTTGGTCTGCCCAGTAGGCTTGACTTACTATTGGAGCCAGTACAGACTATATGGTGCGTTCATAGCTACTGCCCAACAGCATGCCTCCAGCGCGTTATTAGGTTGGTGCAGTCGTTATTCGCTTTATTATTATTTCATTTATTCGTTCACGATTTATTTCTCGGTTCAGATAAACCTTTATAATCATTAGAAGCTGAAACAAATTGCTATAAGGTAATCGGTTCCAGCACTGGATCACATCCGTATCATGTATTTTATTTCTACAGTCAATTAAAACTGAAGCGGATAACAAGTGTGTATGTGTGTGTGTGTGTGTGTGTGTGTGTGTGTGTGTGTTATTATATGTGGGTGTGTGTGGGTGTGTGTCTTGTAATTTTCATTTTCTCGATACGTTTAACGCGACATTTCCTTGTGTGTGTGTGCATGTGCATTGTCTTTAAACTAGAGACAGTTCAATTCCCGGTGCTGTATAGTATCCCCTACCTATATATGATATATAACTCAGTATCCTATATAATATATATGTGTGTGCTTGTGTGTTGTGTTGTGTATGCTGTGTGTGGTGTGTTTTCCGTGTGTGGTGTGTGTCGCTGAGTTCGTGTGTGTATGTGTGTGTAGTGTTGGCACTGCGTGGAGTCTGCCTTGATGAGGGATTCTTCCTAAATTCTGTTTCTCAGCCTTTGTTACATGGTCGTGAAGAGTGTGTGTTATGGTGTGTGGTGTGTGGAGGTCGATAGTGTGTCGTGCGTGTGCGTCGTCTGTTGTGTTGTGTTGTGTGTGTGTGTGTCGCTCTGTGATGAGTGTAGGCTGATATGTGCGGCTTGTGGTGGATGTATATGTGTGGTGTGTGTGTGTGTGGGGCCGATGTATAAGCTCGCATGCATAACACATCTTAGGGTAAGTGTGTGATATATTTGTCTGTGGTGTGTATGTGTGTGTGTGTGTGAGAGTGTGTGTGTGTGTTAGTAGTAATATGTGTATAGTTTGTGTGTGCTATGTGTGTGTATGTTATGTAGTGGTGTGTAGTGTGTGAGAATGTATATAAGTAAATGTGTGTGTGTGTAGGGTGTAGGCCTAGGCCTTACTGTGCATTAATTTTTGTGGTGTGGTGTGGTGTATCAATGTCAATGTGTGAACACTTGGGATGTTAATGTTACAGAGCATAATAAAATGTGTATTATTAAATGGAGTGTGTTACATGTGTCATCTGATACAATATCTAGACCGAGTAATCAATTCTGCAATGGATAGTGATACTGTTAGTGGTAGTGACTTTGCGTCGGGTCGACGACAGTTTGTGTGGGCTTGATATACTCGATTGTGTGTGTGATTGCTGCTATGTGAGTGTGTTGACTGTGTATTGGACAATCCAGATGATACCAGTGTAATAGTGTGTTCGATAGCCAATTTAATCTTTCAGTGTCGCGAACAACGAAGCGCCTTTATGTTGTTAACCGAATGTAACGTCCATACTTGATTTTTTATTCGCACAGGAATCCATCTATTTCATTCCGCGTCTAGAAGCCTATCACGTGAGGAACGTCCTGCGGCCTCGCTTCCATTGGTTGGTTATATGGCGTTACTTGCGTTCACTTCGGTTCCTTTCACATTGGCTGGTTCACTCGTTTCACTTCGGTATATGTTACGGTTAATTCACTATAATGCACGCGACACCCGTCGACCTCGCTGTTCTCAGTATTATTACACTTCATATCAAACGTACCACACTCATTCGTCTCATGAACGCCAGCCGACCTGAGATGTAATAGTTCTCGATGTCTCCCTTCATCTATCATAAACCTACCAATATTCATTCAATTCTGTATCGTGAGTCACATGGCTAGCATATAGGTAACCCGGTGGTCTTTAGTTGACCAAATATTAATGCGGGCAGGCTAGGACTTGCCCTTTCTGGCTGGCCGTCACGTAGCGCGGCGGCTCTGTCTTCAAGATGATGTCTCCTGTCGTATGCGCGTATGTGCGTACTAGTGCGCTGTAGGTACTTCAACCGGCACAGCAAATCCAGGCACAATTATCCGGACATTATATCAGGCATTTTCCGCAGCATCCATGCTTCTCCCGTTAAAATAGTCTAGTTTGAGAGAGAATCGTCAGTTAATATCAAACGAACATCTATTCCATTATTACGTATTGAAATTAAATCGATTTATATTGCTAGTTATATTATATTATATGTGCACAAGATTATTTGCGCGTGGAAACATTGTAATTAGGCAAAGCCGGCGCCTTTATTAATCGGCGATATCATAGTGTTAATAATTTTTCGTGAAGCGAGTGTTCGCCCACTGCGACGGCGCTACTGACACACCACTATCGTGACAAACGCTTTTGTTGCTATCTGTTTAGAATTAATACATTAAATCACCTTTCCTTTTCCATTGGTATTAGAAGAGTATTTTGATCTTCCCCTCTCTGTCTATTCCGCTACTTCTTCCATATCCTCTCTCCCCTTTATGCCATTCGCGCGCGCGCTCTCTCCCTCTCCCTCGCTCTCTCTTGCTCGCTCGCTCGCCCCCTCTCTCTCTCTAGTCCGCTACTTCTCCCTTATCCTCTCTCTCCCTTCATTTTATTCGCGCTCTCTTTCTATCTCTCTCCCTCGCATCTCCTTCCCCACCTCTATCCCTCTCGCCACATAATTCTCTCTTAATTCTCGTTATCTATCAAACATGTGATTATTGTGTGGCAATAACTTCAGCCTAAGGAGGCGGAAAAATTACAATCTCGTCAGATAGAAAAAATTTCTAAACGTCTGTCAATGTATTCGTCCAGTTGCGTGTGTCAGCGTATGCACGCCACACATAACGCAGGCCGCGCGTATAACCAGCTCCTTGTTTTCTACGGCGAACAGAAACTGGAGGTTCTAACTTCTCACGCAGACGACTCCGATAAGATTGAGAAGGCAGCACAGGTGGCGCTGCTGTCTCCATAGCAACGACGCTGTAATTCCGTGATATCTACGCGCCTCGGTTGCTACGATCACGGAGAACGACACGTGGACACCATCATCAAACAACAAGCAAGCATGGTCTCACAGCCACTGCGGAAAGCTAGGTTGCACGGTGGGGCGCAAAGTACTGTGAAGGAATTAAGATAAATCGTATCGAGCACTGGCGAGCAGCCATCGTGGTAGCTCCAAGAAACGGTATTGCTAGGGTTAGAATACCTATGCTAGGGTGTATTGACGTTAGTCACACAGCCTGGTCGGGTTACCATCGTGGCAGACTGTCTGACACAGTATATAATAGAGTTGTTGGATCTGATGGTATAACGTCTAACTCTACTCTTCAAGTGTGCGTCACAGAAGTGGTGAGAGGTTCCACATCGTTCTCTCCGGTGATGCTCAGCATATTGGAGCGGGTCACTAGCTGACACATGTCTGGCTTGTCCAGAGCTGAGGTGACCCCTTCGTAGCCGTACCAACACTCAACAGACACGGGGTGCTGGTATATGCGTGGTAGCGTCTTTGCAGCTTAAGTGGCCCATACACGCACAATATCATTGACAATAATATTGATGCAATATTATTGACAAGAAATTCTGTTGGCCACCATGCAACGGCACAATAATATTCTGCAATATCGTCATTTGTGCTCTGATGCTGAAGGTAAACAGACATGGATGCTAGCGTTGCCATTGCGCAACCTTGATAATATTGCACAACCTTCAATAAATATCTACTGGGCTTTGATTCCGTCAGAATATTGCGCAAGTGAAAAATTTTCTTTAATATTGCACAGTAACGATCAATAATATTGTTCATTATTGACAATATTATTGTCAATAATATTGTGCGTGTATGGGCCGCTTTAGGTCTAATGCGCGGTGATTGCTTCAATGTAATCATTTCGTGTGTCTGAAGATTTCTCACGTGTACTTAGTTCACGATGCTATAGCCTCTGCTATAGCTTTAGTGGCGCCGGAATTTACTCCGTGTATTATAATATGCAATAATAACAAATAAAAATAAAAATAAAAATATGAATAAAAATAATTATGTGAAAAAATATATAAATAAATATTTATATAATAAAAATAAAAATATTAATATTAATAAACGCCGCGTCTACACGGGAATTAGTTACTATGTATCATCCGCTAGCTGTTATCGTCTCTTAATTTTGCACCACACCAGGCGTGTTGGGAAGGGGGCGAGGCGAATCCAACAGTGCAAACGATAGGGAGAGAGAATTCTGGATTTAGGTACCTTCTCGCTATACAGAAAAAACATCCAGCGGCAAGCAAGACTATATGACCTCGGTCAGATTATAGGCAGAGCATATAAATAAATAAATAAATAAATAAATATATATATATATATAGAATATATGTTGATATATATGGTCTGGTTATACTTTTCTGACATCACCCCACTGCTATAATTATCGGCCGTTTATCGGAACGCACGCACGCACGCACGCACGCACGCACGCACCGACGCTGTCATACGATGTACATTAGTGGACGTGTTAGTAGCAAATATAAAGTCATGTTTACAGTTGATACATTTTTCCTTGCTCTTCGTAATGACCATGCAACTGATTTCGATGAATAATTAAGATAGTTCGATGCTGCGAAGATAATGGAACATTTCGTGTATCATGTATCATTAGCGTATCATGGCGTAGTGTATCACAGCGTAGCAGGACGATCAGTACATTGTGGATGCTCTTGTGTTTCATGACAGATTGTGCCGGTGTTTGCCATAGAGATGCTCAGCGTTGTTAATGGCGCTTCAGGTCTGTTCGTAGCCGCATGCTACAGCGCCGCCTTGAGGTGAGTGACGTCACGACTGAGTACGCTCCTTTAACATAGGCCTACTTCTGAGAATCAATGTATTTTCACGAGAAACGTACAATTGCAGACGAGAGAGTAGACTAATACCACCAGGGGTAAATACTAAATAATGACAAATATTTTACAAATATTAAAATGTTATACAGTAATTCTTGTCGCGTTGTGTTGACAGCACGGTGTCGTCCGGAGTTAACTCACTAGCAGCCGTGTTTCTCTTTGACTTCATCCAACCCCAGTACGCGCTGAAACACGGACACGCCATGTCACAAGTCACAGCAACACGAGTATCAAAGTGGCTAGGTACGCATGCGTTATGCATCTTTCCTCTGGGCCGCCGACAGAATCCTATATATAATCAAGCCGTAGAAGCATGGAGATGTACGCTACGAAACTTGGTGTAGACTATACAATATAAAATATACACATACACACATGCACACACACGCACGCACACCCACACACATAATATATATATATATATATATATATATATATACTATTATTAACAATATATACAATATACAACTACTGATCCGGATATGTATTAGCGCTATAGTTATATCATTAACGTAATAATATAGTAGCTTGTTTTAAATCGCATGAGAGATCTAAACGCCACAATGACGTCATATTTGTGTTGCAGCTTGTGGATTCGGCATTGCCTCGGTGGGATTGTCGTTGTTATGCCAATATCTCACAAGCACAGTCATCAGGGTAGGTATCAGCTACTTATTAGCTGATCTGTTACACAATAAGTCACTTTTATATCTAATGGCGGAACGTGCGGGCGTAGCGATAGGTTGTCATCTAATGTGCTGCATGCCTCTATTGGTTTGATTTACCAAATTACTGTTAGGTTACCGATTTCGCCACAACCTCTAAAAACCACTATATATAATATAATTCAAATATAATATTAAAAATAATATATAAAAAGTGCATATAACAAACAAAAAAACACAATTTAAAAATTATAAATGATAACACAAAATAATTCTATTGGGTGTAGACCAGCAATTATTGTAATAGTGACACATATATAATTACATTATTGCAGCTCGCCAATATCATATTCGCAATAGCAGGAGGACCTCTGCTTGGACTCTTCACTCTTGGTATCTTGTTCCCCAAAGTGAACTCAAACGTGAGTGAATGGAAGTCGATTCAGGACGAAAGTGTCACAATATCCGCAGCGTAGCTTGCAGCTGTGTGTGTTTGTGCTTACATGAATACACGCTCACTTCGTTTTCTAAACTACGAGTTTTTAGTCAGCTCCACGGAAACCCAGAACTGGAACCAGCAGCAAATACGGAGGATGGAAATTTTTGTGCATGCCGCAGTGTTGATAGTAGACACTAGAACGCCTATTATACATGGTGTATTATATTATTATATTATTATATTATATATATGCTAGTAAACATGGATTCGCCAAACGCTTGAGCGGGAAACAACTGATGCAATAAGAAACCCATGTTTTCAGGGCGCAGCGAGTGGCGTCGTGTCATCGCTGCTCATTATAGGGTCGATAGGTATCGGATCTCAGTTTATCGACAACAGGCGGGAGATGCTGCCGCTCAGCGTCGCTGGATGTGCGTTCACCAACATGAGCGATGCTGCTGCCAGCACCGCGTCTCCAGCAAACCTAACCACGAACCCGTTCATGTAAGCGCAATGTGTGACGTCACGAAACGCGACACGATAAAGAAACGTGTGCATATGATTATAATAAACGCATATACGATGAAGTGTATGCGCATGCTAGAACGCTTATAGAAGGTCTAATTTCACCCGCACCCAATGTCCACCAATCCTCGATGATTTTCCAAAATATTGTCTGTTATGTTGTATTGTTTGTGTGTAATATTATTTGTTGTTCGTGTCGGGTATTTCGCGCCCTCATACGTAAGCAGTCTGTTGTGTCGACCAAAATCTGACATTATAGTTATTATTTTAGACATCATAATTTATAGTGGCTCTTATTTTACAATATATTATTGCTGTCATGTGTGATTTATTTGATTGCAGCGCCCCTATCGCCGAGGATAGACACTGGTGGACATATCTGCTGAGGATCTCACATTTCTACTACGCCCTCATCGCCGTTATCATCTGCATCGTCGTCGGCGTCGTCGTCAGCGCCATGACAGGTGAGAGTCTGCTTTTATGGGAAGCCTGGGTCCCGTTCTCAGAAACAATATTGGTTTTAATATTTACTTTTTCTAATACAGACCGGACCTCTATATACTTTTCTTACTTGCGTCTGATATACTTAACGTTGTCTTTCATTTTTAATTGTCTACCTTTTTACTTAAAAATCGACGGACACGTTAAATACGTTCTGTTGATTGTAAAAGACTCTTGGTTTTTATAAGTTTTTATGCGTGAGTGTAATTTAAGAAGTAATAATTTGGTTTATTAGTAAGCAGTTGTGCGCTGAAAAGACATGAATGTATTTGTGTTGGTGTGTAGGTAACAATAAGAGTGTCGACCCGGACCTACTTTTCACACCTGTGACAAAGCTCAGCTGGTGTATGCCGCCTGTCCGCGTGCCAGCAGATGACACCGATGCTGCCGCTAAAGTGCCAGCAGATGACACCGATGCTGCCGCTAAAGTGGTAATGTATTCGAACCGTGAATGATACACAGTAGTAAATATATATGTATATATATGAAAAATATGGACGTATGTGTCATGGGCGTAAATCCCGGGGGGGATGGGGGGATGCATCCCCCCGCTCTTGAAGGAGGGGGGGGGATGGCCTGTACAAATATCCCCCCCTGGGATTCCAAAAAAAAACTCCTTCTTCCGTGCCCCACTTGAAAGTTCAGCTAACTCTGATAATTTGGAGACATGGGCAGACCTAAATCATTTCAATTACTGCAGGGGGTCCAGGGGGTCCGCCCCCCCTGCTCGCGCAGAAAACGCATCTGAGGGGGTCTAATTTCCAAAAAATGCTGCGGGAGGGCCCCCCACACCCCCCTCCCCCGGGATGATCCCCCCCACTCCTCGGTACGGATTTACTCCTTTCTTCTTTATTTACACTCTCAACTCTCAACTCTCTACTCTCAACTCTCAACTCTCAACTCTCTACTCTTTACTCTCTTTACTCTTTACTCTCTTTACTCTCTTTACTCTCTTTACTCTCTTTACTCTTAACTCTTAACTCTTTACTCTTTACTCTTTACTCTTAACTCTTAACTCTTAACTCTTAACTCTTAACTCTTAACTCTTAACTCTTAACTCTTAACTCTTAACTCTTAACTCTTAACTCTTAACTCTTAACTCTGAACTCTGAACTCTGAACTCTG